CAACAGTAAAAGTTTGTGACTTCGTTGAAATATTAAAATCGTTGTTTAGATATACTAACCTAAACAACTCTCAGTGCTTATCTGATGAGTTTGTGAGCAAAGAAAAAGCCAAAATCTACTGGCGGTTTCATCTGGTCTGACACTTATTTGTGACGCGCAATGCGCTAGTCGTAGCTGAGAGTATGTGACCTGTTGTGACGACCTTAGACTTCGACCTGATGCTTTGTGTATCTCTATGATTCAGTGAGCTATACTGGACGGAACCCTAGCACCTATTGGCCATCCATATTTAAAGAGACCAAGTTCGATGCATGCATTTTGAAATCCTGTCCGTAGAAAGCAGGAGAAAGCATGGAAGCCATTTTCCCTCGAAATGGATCCATGAATGACGACAGTCTTCTAGCCACTAATTTGATTTGATAGATTTAGAGCACATGTGTCACGGGCTGTCTCTGAAAGTGAGAGAGCGCTACCTGTACCTAGTGCTTTACTGCAGACCGCCCCTAGGATTCACCCGTGCTTGATGGTTATGGCAGTTGTACGACAAACCAGGGTCTAAAGATGTTTAGAAATAATGCCAAACTTTGGACTGCTTGGGAATTACATTGGGCCGATTCAGATTGGATCCTGAAGTTACACAACCGAACTGCACGTACTCTCCACTGCTTTGTGGATTAGACTATCAAGCCATGTTTCCGAAGGTCATCCACAAAGCAAACTCCAAATGAACCAATGCTTTCTGTGTGTGCAACTCAATGACATGATTCAAATTAGGGCAAATACACAGGCTACGCAGAAAGGCTGACAATCGATCAATCAAAGCTAGTCATTCCTGGGGCGAAGGATTGATACGATGTCTCACGAATGAGCGAAATGTACAGAGTAGGGGAAAAACCATTAAGCATAAGATTCAGTGTCAACCCAAGCTAGTCACAAGGTGAAGTAATAGAAAACGTATGTGGGGAACCGTAAAAGAGGACGGGATGAATAGGGGTGAATGGAATAAAACTCACAAAACCACGGGGAGTGGTGGAGTATTCTTACCTCCGCTATAACACTTTCGACTCAGACTGCTAGGTGATACACCATGAACAGAACTGGAGATTATTGTCTGCATACAACATCGCATCTTCTGTTATGAGCTGGCTCAGAAGTATGCATACAAGGTAGTGGAACCCAAATGCACATACGGTTACGAGATTTGGATTCCAGTGGCAGAGCTCACACCCTTCATGTCTCCGGTCGGTCAGAATCCAAGTTTCATGGCATTTGCATTGATGCAATCACCGTCGATAGACGCGCGGCGAACGCACTTCTAGAACGAAACGCAGAGACGGTTTAGTACATGCGACTTCTCTCCGAAATTCTATCAGGGTTGCCAAGCGGAAGCCGAGGGTTGGCCGCTGTTCATCGTTTAAGGATACGCTATCATGGGTAGTAGTCCAGAAGCCGCCTAAGATGCATTCTATGTGCATCTGTCTTCATTTGTTTGGGTGTCTACACGCACCAATAAGGCGATCACTGTGGGTGTTGCAGACGTACCATTGGGTCATCCATCGGAGTCAGAACATTGGCTAGAGAGGGCTTTTCGGAGTGTGCAGTTGTCATATCTACAATAGCGACTACTTTAAACGGCTGCGCGCTTGTCACAGTCTATGTGCCAGCAAGGCAAAATTCGACGCCAGCGCCGGTATCGCGTTGCTTGGCAACCAATGGACGACAGGTTGACTTGGACTGGAATCGAGAAGATAGTTTTGAGCTAAGAGTAACCCACTTCGACACAAGACTGTGGTTTGATCTGCAGTACTTGTCAAGACTCAGACCATGTTGCGTTCCCATCAGGACCAACAGTCACTTCCTGTCTCGGAAATGTTCCGCAGGATCAGTTGTGGATAATGAACGGGTCAACTAAAGTGTGTGCGCCAAAATCGCCTCCAACGCGCAATACAAGAAATACTGAAGTTCAAATGTCCACCAGCTCTTCTAAGTCTGGATGGTAGTGAAATGTATTTCTTTGCTACAAATGATAAGCACACAATTCGGTTGTGTTGCGGTCTCTCTGTAGCACGAGAAAATGGCGTCTAACTGGCGTTCGCAGATTCAATTTGCAGGGCAAATGAATGGCGGGGACCCGCCAGGTGCAGAAGACCAACGTTGCTCCAAAGAGGCTCAACTGCATGAGACAACGGTTAAGGAAGAGGAGCAGCCGATCCATTCTTGGTCACATTGACTTAACTTTGCTCGGAACAGTTAGAACAGCATCTCCACATGTCTGATGTATCAGAAATGTCAGGTAAATCACCTGAGCATACACAGGAGTTTGAAACTTTAGACCCCAATATCAATGATATCTAACCTCTATTTGTATCAAAAAGTGGTACACAGCTCTTGAATCCATCCCACTTTGATTTTGAAAGATGGCGGTGACTCAGCGGTAGATGCTTTGTCCGTATGTTTTACCTTAAAAGGTGCAAGGAACCGCTCTCCATCCATCTTTCCAACTTCTATCTTTAAAATTAACCGAAAGAAACTATACGATCAACTTTACTCATCTAGTGCCAACTTTGTAGAGAAGTCAACTAGTTCACCTTCGCACTATAAGCGCTGGACCACAATTTCTAGTGACTTGCTAAAGCCGTACTAATTAAGCTTGTCTTTTACAACTACATCCGAATGTTCTCGGTCCTGCAGCGGAGCCACTATTATGAATCGACATCAACATGTGTCGAGACCAAGAATGATGAGTAATGGTTTCGACAGGCTCGTTTGTGTTCTTGTAGCCTTGTAGACAATTTTCTTCCTGTTTGGCCCACATAGTTCTTATCACAATATGCACCTTGTTCCGTAGGATGGAATCACATTGTAATACTACAGAAGCAAAACGGGAGGAAGAAAATCATTCGTTTACATCCTTCGTGCGCAACGGATATCCACGCACTTTCATCCGAAGATACATGAACCACAAGAGTACAAACACCACACCTGAACCAACAACAATCAAACGGATCGCTTTATCATACATCAAGAACGTATCGGAACTGACTGCTAGACTCCTCAAGCCACACCATCTGTTATTGGCTCACATACCCACCAACACGCTGAAAGGAACCTTATCTAGACCGAAAGGGAAGACGAGAGTACACGAACGCCGGAACGTCATTTACAAGATACAGTGTACAAATTGTGATAAGAACTATGTGGGCCAAACGGGAAGAAAATTGTCTACAAGGCTACAAGAACACAAACGAGCCTGTCGAAACCATTACTCATCATCCTTGGTCTCGACACATGTTGATGAAGAAGGGCACGTATTTGATTGGGAGAAAACAGATACTAGCGCAAGGAGAGACCAAAAAAGGAAGAGAATTCCTTGAAGCCTGGTTTTCTACAGTCAGTTCAATAAACCAACGCATTGATTTAGATCCGATATACAGGCAGCTGCGAGACAAGAGTTTACGTGGATCATCTGGCACATGAGTCAGAAAGAGGCGGCGCCCACGCTGAGAACTAGCAATGATCACGGGACCAGAATCGAACTGAGCAAGTTCAAATGTCACTCGCTCGTCGGTCAGAATCGACAAAACAAATCAGTTTGCTTATAACGCACTGAGGAAGTCACCACGACTGGTGATGAAAAGTCTGCAACGAAACTGTTCAGCTCGGAGAACAGAACAAAATCTGAGTATTCTAGGTTGTCGAAGAAAGTACTTCTCCCGGAAACTATCTCCCAAAATCAGTTGTTTGTGTCTTATAGTATAGATAGATATATATTTAACGCTTTCCCAATAAACATTTGGCAATATGCCATTACACATGAGTAAAAACAACAAGAATGAGAGAGTGAGTAAGAGGAATGGAAGCAAAGTGCTATGTGTTGGGTGGGCATTGAGATTACCGGTTGCCCAGGTCGAGAAACAGGGTTGACTTAAGGGAGCCCATCCCAAACCTTTGGTCTAAAGACCTGACTTGCAAGGCAGCGGGGTCAGGTAACCTTTATAAAGCACATTGAGCTCCCCATAGTTTGTTACAATACAGCGATATCCTGGGATGTATTAAGGGTGACTAGTTTATTTGGAACTAGGACCAACAGTGACGCACGTACATCTGTGTAGACGTAGGAGCTATGCAACTGGTATATATTATAAGCACAACTTATTATTCCTTATTGTATGGCAGGATCTCACACACATAACCCTTCTTCTATATTCCAGTACTTCATCTTTTCACCGATGTACATTTTATCTGGTCCACTTATGTAGTATTTTAAATTCGATTATCAACTTCATTTATCAACCACCCTGTTTCTCAACTTAAGCCCAGTGCCATGGGAGTGCACAATGAGCGGTAACAGCGACCATCAGGGGAACTAATATTAATTTCGCAATGCTAACGAATACAAACGAACATTCCTGCTCTGAAGCTTGGCTCCAATATAAACTTGGAGTCCCCAGCTAAACTTAGGCATACAGAATAGCTTTCTGGAATATGGCCAGCGCTATATTTTCCGCCTAAATTCTTCAACCATCTAACGTTCTTTCTACTTATATCATTCTTGCACTCGTGTTGTCCTTAGTAAAACTATACTTGACAATGCGTTAAGCCACTTGCATAACATGATATAATCCCTGTTCATCGAGAGACTATATAACGCCAAAACACTGCATTTTCTAGCTTCTTTATAAAATCAGGACAAGTGGATTTGCGTTTGTGCTTGTGTGAAATGCATGCTGATTCTACGGACACGATTTATTTTGTTGGCAACCTGCTTGCTCATCAAATAGTTCTCATCCTAACCAATCTACGAGGTGTGTTCCAAGTTAGCACTTCATCCGTATCAACCGGATGCTTTATCACACGTAAGTTATTGCGTGTCAATATGATATTTGTTGAGTTACCCTACTTCTTCCCTCTCAATCACTGTAACAAACCTATAAATACGCACTTTCATTATTGAGTTACAAGTGGGTTCCATCTACAATGTCCCCTCACCCCTCTTACAGATGTTGGTCTTAAGACGAACGAGCCAATGCAACACCACTTTTGGGTTACTGGTTGTTCAGCGCAACTCCCGATTTACCTCAGGCAAACCACATTTGCCTTCGCCGCTCTGCTCCTACTCTCGTTTCCGTTACGCGCTTATATATGTTTCCGAACGGCTCGGCTGAATTACACCGTGAGGAAAGTGTTCGGACCCCAATCGACTGACTCCGTACCGACGCATTCAAGTCGACTTCGTTATGCGTTGATTCGGCCGGTGACAAGCAACGCTCGTTTGTTTCCCTATGACACTGCGTTCCCGATTGCTAACGAAGGCATCACACTCTGTAATTCCCAATTGTCCCTGGGGAGTTTGGAGCTCGAGAATCAGAGCAAGCCTCTCCAATCAACTCAGAATGAAAACGCTGAGTTGTTGCCTATAGACATGCTTAACGACCAACGCAGCAACCAATTATGGGGGGCTGATTCGATTGAAAACCAATCATTTCGATAATGGTCTGAACTAACCAACTATTTCTCCTCTCAATTTGCAAGACCCTACATTTCGCAGTGACAGAAAGCAAACTGAACGTACATTCTAGATGAATAAAACTGCAAGGACAAGCCAGCTATATGCACATCACTTCCTCACGGTAGAACGGTAATGTAATCTTGTAATACCGTTGGTTATTCCAAATATTATGTTGGTCTTTCCATTTTGTTGGAAACCATTATATTTTATGTTTTGCGAAGTTCGTCTCTTCCGCAGTAAGACGTAAGTGTGTAGTGCGCACGTTACTCCCGAGTACCGGGGTTCCCAAGGTGAAGAAACTAAGACAATCAATTTCTCCCAGCCTGGTCAGCGAAAACAGCCTGCTTCAATACCTGATACGTTTACTTAGATTAGACCAGAGAGGTCTATATTGGCACTATTCACAGCTGAAATGAGTTGGATCAATCACTGTACCCGTCCTACGATAAGTAGGCTGTGCAAATCCCCAACACTAGTGCCAGAAACTGAACCATTACGGAGTATCGCTTGATGACCTCTGTTATAAATTTACTGTGATCTACGGTATCGCTTTTTGAGTGTAGATAACTTACTTGGCAGAAGGAAACCACGAACAACCATGGTATGTTTCTACAGAGGTACGCGAAGACAGAAATGATATCCGACGGCACAAGTATCCCACCGAACACTTTGGCGGAACAACAAAGCCACCGGCCTAGCTTATGTTGAACAACCTGTATGAAAGATATCGTCATTTTCTCCTCGTTGAGTGATGTACTTGCAGACGTTCCGTTACCAAGCAGAGCAGCGGCATCAATGTTACTTCAAGATAAGCGACCCACTTCTGTCAATGCCTTACTCTTTATTTTTAATTGAAAGTCACGCCTCTGCCTCAAAATTTCTCATTGACTCGTTGTCCTGAAGTGAGTAGGTGGGAGATGAGCGAATGCTTATCTTGTTGTCACGCTTAACTGAGGTAGAATTCCGTAAGCAACATCCAGGTCGAAGTGAGCGAACTTCGGTCAGAATACCACATTTCGATTAATGTACTTGCCTGTTACTCTTACTCTGCTACCATCTGAATGTTTTATAGATTAGACGGTTGAATTGCGACCAACAGTTACACCGAAGAGGGTGATTTCGGGTCATACTATCTAATGGCTTTCTTTCCACACGCAACCCCCAGTATCTTGCACAGTTTACGCTGCGGACTTCGTGAATCATATCTGAGGCCTTTGTCCTGCTCTGTTTTCGCATAACTTTGATCACGCTGCGATGGCTTCTGTTGGCCGCGAGCCGTGTTCATCTACAGAGATCACAATTTCAGTAACTTTACTGACATGTTAATGAGTAAATGAAAAGTGGAACTGAAGCGTAATTGTCCGAAAGTCCTGACACAGTAGTAATACTTAGAAGACAACTTCATGGATGTTACGCTAATAATATCAGCTAGCCTATTACCTGCACATCTACAAACTGGCTGACTGACATCCATCCAAGTACCCAACTACGAATACCCCCAACAAATGAAGTAGTTAGATATGCTAAGTTGAAACATGGCTATGAAACACAAGCATGGCATTCAAGTAAACGAGCGAAAGTGTAACTTTCTGAAATAATAAAATACTCCTAGTTTTGCGGATGGATGTTCTGTTCTTGAGTGGCCTGCCGTGCTGGGCAATTTGCTTGCAAATGTTTCGTTACTTATACCGAAGAGCATGCTGGTTGGTTACGGATGCCCATATGGAGGCAGTAATAGCTGACGACACATGTTCTTGGGTCTACTTGTCGCGTGCATCCGCAACCAAGCATTCAACTCTCCTGCACTTATGCTCTCACCTGCACTAGTAAGATAACAGTTTAAAGCAAGTTACCCAGCTCGACCAACCGCGAAACATTAGCTTACTCTCAAGGCAATGTTTCTCAAAGTGTGGTCCGCGGACCCTTTAGGGGTCCGCGGCATTTTCCGAAATAGTATAATATCCTTAATCATTTTTCTGGAAGTAATCATTTTATTTCATGGGTTGATGAATAACTTGCTGCGAACATTTGTTAGATCACATCTGACGGTCTACGTTAGGTTATGCATGGCCCACGTAAACCACACTCGTTCCAAGAAGGAACCTAGTTTTGACAGGGACTTAAAATATGAGTGAACGAAGCTATCAAATGTCAGAAGTGTGTTGCGGTAACCTCACCGTGATGCGATGGATAGTGTCTGGATGGGTAAGTCTACGTCCGCTCAAGCTCATTTAATACTCAGAATTTGTCCCAAGGCGAAAAGCAAAATGTAAGTTATAAGATGTGGATCCTTTATACCTTCAGTACGAAAGTTGTTATGCTCTGAAAATAACTAACTGGACATAGACGCCCATTAGCGCGATTCCACTCACTGAAGCCCACAAAGAATGTGTGGCTATTTCAGTAATTTACTAGTTTGCACATTGGATATCGCGAATTGGAGAGAAACCATCTGTTCGAAGTTACAAACAGATGGCTGTTCGTTTATTTTTTACATTATTCAAAGTTCAACTTATCATGCTAATCAAATCCGAGGTGTGCTCTGGACTTCAGTGCTGAAGTATTTATTTCTATTACAGCATTTAGACATATCACTTCCACGTGGGCTGTGGGCTGAAGAGTGCATCACTTCTAAATGTGACACAGGAATATTCGTCGTGGAATTCAGATGTCTCAGTGGCTACGTCATGTAATGGGCTTATTGAGAAGGTAGAAACTCAGACTTTCGGTATAACGGTACTATCTGATTCGATGCAACATAAATCTTAGACAACGAAAGTCACTGTACTAGTAGAAAACGGACGCAATACACTGCTATTTAGCTTTATTTTGAACTGCCAGATTGCGGCCGCACTTTAACTCGGCTTTCGCTTTGCCCTCTGTGACCACTCTAATTCTCCCCATACAATATTGTGTGTACGCTCGTTCGAACCAGTTCGACGAGCTCTACTCAGTGCTTCCCAACTCGTGGACCTAACCTGTGTGGATTATACTCTTGCTCCAGTTCCCAGTTTTCGGCATATTCTTTGCCGAGTTCCACTTGTGTAACTACATCAAACCGGTTTCCCAGCAAAGATTTTGGTCCCATTCGGAAGAAGAAACTGAGGGTTTACAAACTACGGGGCAACCATCCCTGCAGCATAACCAAGTTAGAGTCTTTTGCTCCTCTCATTAACTGAGCAGCTCCAGGGACGCTTATCAGCACCCACCCGCATCGTCGCTTTGGGCAAGCCGATTAACACACGGTGCAGCTTTGTGTGGGTGTATGTATTCAACTGCGAGTCGATTGATCGCTGAACCCGATAGTCTGCGCGTTACGACCTCCATCTGCCTCTACCGCCTGACCTTAGTGCGGTTGAAAAACTCTCAATTCGTATGCGGGTTCTGACCTATTTGTGCGTCACGCCGGCGCAAAGAACACTTATCAAGATTAACGCTTAGACAGGCTTTGCTGTAAACAATAAGAGAACGACTAGCATTCCAATGGTTCAAAGTAGCCCATGATGCGCAGACAATTGCAGTGAAGTCCTTAAGATCAGTGTCACCTGTTCAAGCTGCATTAGATCGTACTGTCCGCAGTGTGTAGGCAAATCCGTCTGAAAAGTGAGAGACAAACCAAGATGCTGACACAATTTGGTTTTGCCCAACATGTCAAGTCATTCCAGATGTGAACTGTTCATCTTTGCTCATGAAAAAGTGCGATAGGATGACTGAGATAATCGCGCATTTTGTAAATACTAAGATCGATCTCACGGAGGCAAATATGGCCACGCTAATGCCTCACTCTGCCAAAGTAAGCTCCGAATCTAAGCCGAAGAAGAGAGCTAGGCACTCCAACCGCACTGCAGTGTCTGTGACTCTAAATCCACTGCGTCATCTCACTCCCATAAGTGGACAAGCCTCAAACATGTCTGCTTCTACTTCTCCAACCATAGACCCTTCACTTGGAGATTCAGCCATGACACCGACAGTTCAGAGACGAAGGCAATCCGGTGCAGATAACAAGCAGGTAACGTACACATTGATTGCCTCGACAAACACACCGGGAACGACACACATAGGTTCACCATTTGTACTAAACACACGTGGCGCAAAGGAGCTTCCACCGTCAACTTCAGCGGTGCCTTCTAAACAACCCGAGTTGCCGGCAAAAATATAAAGCTGGACAAAACCACGCTGCGTTAACTCTCGTTTGCACCAATGTTCCCGAGTCCAAATCTGGCACAATAAAGGCAAATTGCTAGGCGATCGCAACCAGTGGAGTTCCATCTGCGATGTAATTGGTATTCGGGTTGAGCCTGCAATGCTGCAATTCGTAACGCGTCACCCGACCTCAGTGCACTCTGGTGAATCTCAAATTCTTCGGGTAACACTAAACTCAGCAGATGAGGCAGAGGCTGTCCTGCTCTCAGCAACTCAACGAGCGGAGTGCGCATATTACCTGATCTACATTGGAAAGCGCTCAAAAGAAGCAGTTGACCAACGACGCATTCTTAATAGGGAAAGCAAGAAAACGCTATTTGTTCATGGTGTTCCCGAGCTTCTGCATTCTTCTGATCACGATGCGCAAACACATGACCGAGAGCAGTGGTGCTACATCCGCGAAGCACTCTCTGTTGACAGCGTTAGTGACAAATCCCTGACAAGAGTTCCGTCATCACCTAACTACAACGGCCGCGGTTCAAGACTAACGTAAGTATCATTACACTACGACGGAATGACGCGTTCTGTTGGATAGCTGGTTAAAGTTTCGAGTTAGGTTGCCAACAGAGATCTGGCTAAAGGCAGCAGGCGAACAGCCAAGGGTCGTAAGCAATTCGATGCAACTTGCAAACGCTACAAATTCTCTATTTGCACAGTCCTGCGGAGAGACCGACACTACAGCGTCCACGGCACACAACACGACAGAGTGCAGCATGAGTGAAACTTCTGTGCAGGGACGCTCAGTAATGTCATGCAACTTGACTTAAATTCATAAACCAAAAATCGGTTAGAGGCGGGCCACC